ATAGCAAAATAAAAAACCAAATCTAAAAACTAAAAACCAAAACACTTGTGTTATTACAAAAAAAAAAATGTTTTTATTTCTTCAAAAACCATTTTCTATCCAATCAAATTTTGATTCCCTTAAAATTTGGAAATCTATATTTTCATAAAACTTGTGTTATTACCAATCAAGATTTTGACAAAAATATTGCCTATAAAATAGGGAAATTGTTTTTTATATGTTTTTACCAAATTTCAAAGAAAAACCAAAAGCCATGTTTTGGTGGTGTTTTTAGAAAATATGCGATTTATTTTCCTATATATTTTACTCGTTTTCGTAAATATCAATATAATATACATGATTATTACATGTATATACTTTCTAAATTTTGGTTTAAGTAATTTTATTTTATTATTTATATTTTTAGCATGAACTAGTTTGCTAATTTCTCCTTAAAAATAATAAATAATTAGAGCTTGAGCCGTACATCCGTGTGGGTATCTATTTTCATTTTTATATATAAATACTATTTAAATATTTATTAGTTAATATTTTAAATATTTATCATATTTTAATTTTTTTATAAATATCATAGTTAAAAAGTTTACATGTTGAAAATAATTATTGACCCGTGCGCTACATTAAATTCTTGACAACATTAAAACCATTAATATGTTTGCATAATGTCTTTTTAACATGAAATTGTTTCGCAACTATATAACATCTAAATATTTTGTTTATTTATGGGTCATATGTCGAGTTTAGATACATCAGATAAAAAAAATATTCTATTATACACATTAAATATTATTCTTACAAATAATTTATGATATTTAAATATTTATACAGATAAATTTATTGGTCAAAAATAATTAACAGCAACTGAATGGATAAAAATATATTTTAAAAATAATTGAAATGTATATGTTTTAGGAAACATTTAGATATACTAAAATTAATATTCGATTATAAATAATCCATATTATTCTACAAGTAATTCAAAAATAATTAAATCTTACCATAAAAGTTTTATTGTTTAAAATAATTAATGGTAATGGTTAAACATATTTAAAAAAAAACTGCACTACATATATTTTAAACCTTATAAACTAAATGTATAAAGTTTATATGATACTTGAGAAACATTATATTATATAGCTTAAAAAACTTTTAAATTTGAATTTTCCTAAAATTTAGCTAAATCATTTTAGAAAATATACTGATCAGAAAAAATTAGCTAAATTTGATTTAGGAAATGATTTAATAAAATAGAAAAATACAATGATTATTTAAATGTAGATTTATTTAATTCTTAGTGGCATTGACTAGTAAATATTGTGCAAGTTTAAGGATTAATTTAAATTTGTACTTCTATTCTAATAGATTAAGATAATGTTCTTGTTTTCATATCTGTAAAATAAATTAATAAATTTATATATAAGATTAATTGACTGTAAGCTAATAGTAAACAATTAGTTATTAAGTTCGATAAATGGAATTATTGAATAATTTTATAATTATTAGATACATCAAAAATAACTAAAAAAAAATTAAAATTTAAAATTTAAAACATTTTATTAGTACAATCTAATATTTTAATTTTTCCAAAACAGAATTCGCCATCAAGTTTAAAAAACAAATATATATAAAAAATTTATATAATTATAAATGATTTATAATTTAGTAGCTGGAAAAAAAAAGAAATTTAGTATAATGTAAGTTATTTAAAATTATAATAATTAAAAACATGTTAAAGTTTTAAATAATCACAATATTTTGATCAATTTTAATAGCAACTTCTAAATATTTTATTGCTATTATTGTTGTGTTATTTTAGAGTAATATATTAGTTCAAAAAGTTAAAAAATGTTAAAACAAAAAAAAAAAAACTAAATTTAAAAACCAAAGGCTGAAAAAATCCAAAACCAAAATCTAAAATCGAAAAACCATAATCTAAAAATTAAAAATCAAAACCAAAAACTAATCTTCAACTGAACACTAAGACAAAATCTAAAACCATATCTAAAAATTAAAAGCTGAAACTAAAACTAATGTAAAGAATCATCAATTTCGAGTTGTAATTGAAGTCATTTCGACTGTATGATCTTTTATTGTACTAGCCATTGGACTGCTTTGATAAAACATTGCCGACAAAATAATGCAATGTTATATTATTCAAAAGAATCCAATAGAATTATTCTTTTTTGTCGACTTTGTTCATTTCATTGAACTAGCCCAAAGACCAACTTTACAAATTATAGGCATAATTAAAAAAAGCCCAATAGAGATGAAATTATAAAATTAAAATCCAAATAATGAATCGGTGATTGATGACTCAAAATCACAACGTAGTTTACACGTGCTCTTCATGCGAACACCACCGTTCCAACCACCGTGAAAGCTTCACCACTGTGGTCTCTTCCACCTCAACTTGAGGTCCTCAAGTTCCTTTCGTCTCTGCCGTTATCAGCCCAAGCCTTAACTTGTATTCACTATTTCGCCTTTCGCCGTTGTCAATGATTCAGTATCTAACATCTCTGAATGTTGATTCAAGGATTAGTCGATCAAATCCAAAAAAAGACCCTTTATTGGACCGTTCAGAGAACGCCAATCTCTGCTGAATCTCCGTTGAATTAATCAAATTAATCCATCTTATCTTCTTCTTTTCCTTAAAGAAAGCTCCATCCATAAGCCTCTGGTAATATTTTAGCTGATAAAATCTGATTTCTGCAGGAAAGAAATCAAAGTTTTTCTTCGATGAAGATAATCCATCACAAACGAACGGAATTTGATTTAGAACATGAAAAAGTAGAAACAAACCGGAATAAGATCCGGATTTTATTTTCTTCAATCAATTATCCGAGAAAATAAGAGTTCAGCTTGCTCAGAACAGATTGAATCATCACGCCAAAATCGCCACCGCGAAAGTAGAGTCCGTTAACCGGAAGTCTAAATTCGATGAAAAGATCGAAAGCAAAAAAAAACAAAAGTTTTGATCTGAGCCCTTGTGAAAGATTTGAGTCAGTGAACAGAGGTTTGAGAGAATATTTCTCTCTGGGAAAATGGGTAATTAATTCCCCAAGTATTTGAAATCGGCAGTTTTAATACTAAAGTATTGCTCGCGCAGAATTATTCCCCAACTAATAGTTGACTGCGCGAAATTAGGAATGAAATAGTCAAACCGTTAACTGGTTAACGGAAAGATAACGGTTGACTATTTCGTTCATAATTTCACACAGTCAACTATTAGTTGGGGAATAATTCTGCGCAATAAATACTTGAGTATTTAATTTGCCGATTGAAAATACTTGAGGAATTTAAAACATCAATACTTTTTAAATATATATATATATAATTTTAAAGATGAAATAGATTTTTAAGCTTTTACAATAACATATACAATAATAAAAATAGTTATAGTTGCAGTTTATTGTTGATGTACTTCATGTTTATAAAATCGCATATGGATGATTTCATATAATTTACAGAATCATATGTTGTAAATTAGATCTCAATTTTAGACTAGAGATGGCAAAAAATGTTCATTTTTCAGATTTTTTTTTTCAGTTTTATATTATAATTATAATATAAAACTGTCTGATCATGTTTTATGTAAATTAATTATAATATAAAACTGAACAAAAAATCTGAAAAATCACCATTTTTTATAAGAACACAACTAAATCAAAGTTAACTAAAGTAAACAGACTTTTTATTTTTTTTAAAAACGTTAATAAAGTTAATCATTAGTGTTAGGATTTAAGTATATTGTATAAAGTTAATAGAGACTTTAGTTTTCAAATAATAACAAAAGCACATTGTTTTCTCGGTTCGGTTTAACTCGGTTCAGTTTGGTTTGGAGTTGTTTCGATTCAGTTGGTTCGGTTTGATATTTTTTGCCATCCCTAGTCTAAAATTGAGATCTAATTTACAACATATGATTAAGTAAATGATATGAAATCATCCATATGTGATTATATAAACATGAAGTACATCAACAATAAACTGCAACTATAACTATACTTATTATTGTATATGTTATTGCAAAAGCTTAAAAATCTATTTCAAAAAGTAAAAATCTCGTATATTGATTGTATCTGACTTGAAAATCTTTTAAATTATATATATTTTTAAAAAGTATTGATGTTTTAAATTCCTCAAGTATTTTCAATCGGCAAATTAAATACTCAAGTATTTATTGCGCAGAATTATTCCCCAACTAATAGTTGACTGTGTGAAATTAGGAACGAAATAGTCAACCGTTATCTTTCCGTTAACCAATTAACGGTTTGACTATTTCATTCCTAATTTCGCACAGTCAACTATTAATTGGGGAATAATTCTGCACGAGTAATACTTGAGTATTAAAACTGCCGATTTCAAATACTTGGGGAATTAATTGCCCATTTTCCCTCTGGAAAAAGAGATATTATATCACCAAAAATGGAAAGATGGCAAAGCGGTTAACAGTTAACCATAAATTCCGGTTTAGGACGAAATCGATCGGTTTTCCTAAAATGAGAAGAAAAGTTGTCGAGGTAAACAAAACCTCTCTCTAGTATTTTCTCCAAACTCTCTCTAAAAAGCTTCCGATCAATATATACGTTCCAGTGGCCGGTGACCCTCTGCCACCGGTTACCACAATCTTTTGATTTTGTTTTTTTGGCTTTGTATTATATATCTCTTCGCGGTGGTGATTATGATATTCGCGGTGGTGATTATGATATTCGCGTTGGCGAATTTTGTTGTGTATTCAATCTAAATCAAAGCAAAACTTCATGATTCTGTTGAAGGAAGAGGGGGCGCGTCCCGTCTTTTTTTTTTGTAACACGCGTCCCGTCTTACATGTGATAAAGACGCATGTACTTCTTGCGTGGAACTCGAAGGATCTGTTGGGTCAGGAATTGGGCTTAATAAGTTTTATATTATGTCGAGTTGTATGATGAATTTTCAAGCTTGATGCTTCTCTTGTAATCTCCATTGGGCCTTTCTAAATGAAAGAAACAGTTGACAAAAAAAAAAAAAAAAGTTGCAGACACACCTCGATCTCATCGAATCTCCTCTTACATATCACTTCACAGCTGACACCAAGCAAACCTATTCCCCTCTTTCCTCTCTCTCTAGGCTCTCACAGGTATCTCTCGTTTTCTCTCTCTCTCTCTCTCTGAACTCTTTCTTTTTTTTTTTTTTTGGTATGACTGCCTCGTGCTGGATTCATCTGACTCTTTATTCTGTTAAGTATGTGAAAACAAATGTGAGATCTGTTTCTGTATAATAAATTAAATCATTTGAAAGAAATGTCATTGGTCTTGAGATTTATCCGATGTTCGTTTCTCTTAAAGTCTTAAACTGTGTTGAATTCGAAATCAAACACTAGAAAGAAAGCTTATTGGTCTTCTTGACATTTTTGCTCAGAAAACATTAGAAAGGTCGTGAGAATGGCGGCAACAGCAGCTTCAAGCTTGCAACTTGCTACAATAAGGCCAAGCATTTCTGCTGCCTCTTGCAAAGTTCTTAAAGCAGGGACCTACATTGTCGGTGGCGATCCCAGGAACGCATCATGGGACAAACTTGCCTGCACTCACCATCTATGGAACCTCGGATGTTTGAGAAGCAACAGTTCTCGTCCAACTTCTAAAAAGAGTTTTTCCTTTTCAACAAAGGCCATGTCTGAATCCAGAGAAAGCAAGGCTTCTGCTGGACTTCCTATTGATTTGAGAGGTTATTACTAAGATTTCTATCAGAAGCCTTGAGCTGTTTGAATTAAAGCATCTGTGTTAAATGATTACAGGGAAAAGGGCTTTCATTGCTGGCATTGCTGATGATAATGGATATGGTTGGGCCATTGCCAAATCTCTTGCTGCTGCTGGAGCTGAAATATTGGTTGGGACATGGGTTCCTGTAAGTAAAGTCTTTTAGCTTCTTTTAGTTTTGTCATTTTGCTCATTATTTCCTGACCTTTGAGTGGTCTACTAGGCACTTAACATTTTTGAGACAAGCCTGAGACGTGGAAAATTTGACCAGTCACGCGTGTAAGGACCTCATGAAGTCTCGTTTCTTTATCTGATCATGCATGTCTCTTATTATGGAACGTTAATTTTCCATCCATCTGTCTATATTCAGGCTGCCTGACGGGTCTTTGATGGAGATTAAAAAGGTTTATCCTTTGGACGCTGTGTTTGACAATCCTGAAGATGTGCCTGAAGATGTAAGGAGATTTAAGTGTATAGCTCTCTCATCATATGGAATCGTTTATATCCAAATTACTTTCTCAACGGTATGATACATTTTTTCAGGTGAAAGCTAATAAGCGATATGCTGGATCATCAAACTGGACAGTACAGGTATAGTTGTATTGACGAAAGAAATGTTTTATATTATGAAATGTGTGATAACATCTAAAGCAAGAGAAGTGTGTGTGTGTTTCTGCTTGATGGCTGCGACTTTCTTAACTCATCTGTTTTCTTTTTATTTTTTTGTTGGTCAAAACAGGAAGCAGCTGAATGTGTAAAAAAAGATTTTGGTACCATTGACATTCTTGTCCACTCACTTGCAAATGGACCAGAGGTAAAGAACTCATAGTGTTCTTATCTTTATATACTGTTTATAAGAAGTGTATTGTTTTCAACTTTTCCGCCTGATGTTTGCACCTGAGGTTATAGGTTAGCAAACCTCTTCTGGAAACATCAAGAAAAGGCTATCTCGCTGCTATCTCTGCTTCGAGTTACTCTTTCGTTTCCCTCCTCAGGCATTTTCTGCCAATTATGAACCCAGGCATGTAACAAAACTTCATGTGTCTTATTAATTATTAATTATGTTTCCTAATACGTTTCTCAATTATAATTCAGGAGGTGCTTCTATATCTCTTACTTACATTGCCTCTGAAAGGATCATTCCTGGGTAAGTGTTATACGGGCTTCACTACTTGTGCACATCACGATCTCGTGTATACTGAGTTTTGTTCCTCAGTACATTACATTGATAGAATATAGAAGTAACAAGATGGCATATCATACATATATCTCTTTCTTTCTGTGCAGGTATGGTGGAGGTATGAGCTCTGCGAAAGCCGCACTAGAGAGTGATACACGGGTGCTTGCATTTGAAGCTGGAAGGAAACAGAACATTAGGGTGAACACCATCTCTGCAGGTGATTAAATCTATGACTCTTACGACACTAGTCATGCAACTATCAAGGCGTTTTGATGGTAAAAGAGTAGTACTGTTTTGGTTTTTAGGTCCTTTGGGAAGCCGAGCAGCAAAAGCAATTGGGTTCATAGACACCATGATTGAGTATTCATACAACAATGCGCCTGTTCAAAAAACATTGACCGCAGGTTCGTTTTTCCTACAATGTAGCATATCTTGTTTGATTTGTTTGTCTTGCTTTGGAATCTTCCTGTTTATGAAAAATGGAAACGATGCAGATGAAGTTGGGAATGCAGCAGCCTTCTTGGTATCTCCATTGGCCTCTGCCATAACTGGTGCAACCATCTATGTTGACAATGGTTTGAATTCAATGGGTGTTGCCATCGACAGCCCAGTTTTCAAAGACCTCAAATAGAGACTTTTAAGTAACTGTGGATTGTGGAAACTCTTTTTCTAGTGTTTCATTTGTTTTCTTTCAGTTGAGTGTGTTTTTTCAAACAACTTTGTTTCTGGAACAAAATAAAATATTTAACACAATCAGAACGAACTCTAGTCAAAAAAATCAGAATGCAATATATATATGATTACTGAAGTTGGATTTTGTTGTAAGAAAACTTAAATCTTATCAAAATAATCGATCGTTATATAGAATTTGCAATAAATTTGAATGGAAAGGAAAAGGGAAATATGCTAATTTGGAACAACTTATGTTAGGTGTTGTCCCATTAGAACTAAATCATTTTTTACCCATTTTTGACTTTAACTACTCTTACACAATTCATATCAATTAATTGAGATACAAATAAAATATAAAAAAATACAAAACATGACCTTAACATACATAAACACTTATGAAAAATATAAAGATGAAAAAATTAACTTGGAAGACCAACTTCAATAACATTCTAAAAATGGTAGAAGATATGATCTACCATCTACGGTGAATTAGATGGTAGCTTCTTCGAAGAAAACAAAAGTCTAATAGAGTTAGAAAGCGCAGTATGCCATACTTGCTTCCATCTAATCTGGTAGAGATTACAATCTAATATTTCTACTCTCTTCTACAAAATGGCAGATCACATCGTCTAAATTTTACCATGTTTCTACCAGTGGTAACATTTACATTCTACGCTTTTCACTTCTAACTACTAGAAATAGATTGTTGATTCTACGAGATCTTCTATATCTTTCGACCAGTAGAATCTTGTTTCTTCCGAAATATATTCAAAAAATCCGGAAATATTGCCTAAAACCGGTTACTAATGATTTTGGAAATATTTTCTTTATTTTTTTTTTTGTTTTAACTTTATTTTGAAGAAACCGTAAAGTTCTTCTTCTTCTTTCTCACGATCTCTTCTTTGTTTCTCCGTATAGATCGATCGGTGCAGATCGACTGAATTGGACAAGGTCGATCAGTTTCTGCTCCGTGCTTTTTTATGTTTTTGGGATCGATCGATCTAAAATAGAGACCGATCGATCTATGATAGATCGATCAGTGAAGATCGACTGAACTGGACAAGGTCGATCAGTTTCTGCTCCGTGCTTTTTTATGTTTTTGTTTAATCATCTAGATCGACCGTTGGGATCGACCGACCCTTTCTGGGATCGATCGATCCCGTCGTATAAAGCAGTAAATGAAGTTGAAGACATGAATTCTCACGCGAAGTTGTTTAATCATGAAGTTTAATGTCAAGTTTAGGGTATAGATAATTCATCCCAATAAGTCTGAAAAGTTATAAAAAGCTAATTCAAATACATCCCAATACGTCTGAAAAGTTATAAAAAGCTAATTCAAATACAAGAAACTAAGGCTCGACAACACTGGAAGTATTTGTCTTCGGAGGTGTGTAGTTTGACATTCGCAAGATCAGTTCGGGATCGTTTGCAGCTTCAGCCTAATTTCCCTAATGCTTACATCTCTTTCTTGCCTAAGAACAATGCTCCAAAACCCTTTATCAGATGTCCAAGACTCAAAATCAGTGTCGTTGTCTGCTTCGCATTTGAGACCAGTCACATCGTAGAACTCTTGCATAGAAAACCGTAAAGGCTTCATAGCAAAGAGAAACCATAACTCATGATGCTTGGAAATGTTGAGTAGTTTGCATACTAAGCTTTGAATAACCTTACCCGAGTATCCAAGCTGATGCTCATTGATAGCCAAAATTTGACCGAAGACAGAATCTTTCAAAACAACATCATACTCATCCTTAAGAGCTTCTTTCACTATCTGCAGGATTGTACGCCTACACGTGTTGTTGATCTTTTCAATACAAGTTTCAACTCCGGCTTCAGCTATACGTTTAGGAAGTTCGATTTCCATTCCTGTAGACCAAGAAATCACAACATTACATGTTTGTTCAACCAAAGCAATGAAACCATGTTTCACAAGATGTAAAATATCAGACACAAACAATAGCAAACGCAAAACAAACACATAAACAAGTTTGAGTCTTTTTTACATAAAAAATTTGGAACTCGATTCAAAGGAATTATAACTCAAATCGGTTTCATACATGGAAGGTGTGATATATTGAAACCCATTCTATAATTTTCAAGCATGAACATAAAATAAAAAAATTGGGGATCTCAAAACCCAACCTTCAATTTCGAAATGGGTGAATGGTTCTGGAGAAAGAACACAAGGAACAGAGCTAAAGGCTACAACCACCGAGGATTAGTTCGCCGGCGATGAATGTCGATTCCTCTTGCCGTCGGCGGAGAGAACGAGGAGAACGATGAGAACAAGAAGAACAAGCAAAGAGGTCACCGCGGAGAGAAAAGAGAGAAGTTGGAAGAGGAGTTCGTCACTGTGATAAGGAATTTACGCCGTAGAGAACTGTAGAGAAGGTGACGGAGAAACCGAAAACAACATAATCACCATTGATGGTGAAGAAAGAAAAAGAAGTTAATGATTTTCCCATTTTTTTCACCTCTGTTTTATTTCACGGTACAGAAAATTAACAATATTTTATGGAATTTTATTAATATGTTTTATTTACTAATTGTAGGGTTAATTTAGTATTAACAGTAAAATATCATTCTAAAGGGACAACATTTTCACAAACTATTCTAAGGGGACATCAATTCCCCGTTTATTTTCCAAATTAGCAATTTTCTTAAAGGAAAAAGCAAGGGTGATGTACATCATTATTAGGACTCTAAAATTAAGATATCTGGGGATGTCTGAATCTAAATCCAGATAATAAAATCTTGGATACAAATATCTTAATTTTTAAGTCCAGATATTCGGATTCGGATCCGTATTTTAAAAAATATATTAAATTTTTAATTTCATTATTAATTAAATATGATATATTAATATTTATACATAAAATAAGTTTAATAATATTTTACTTTTATATTAATAATATTATAGGTCGTAAATATATTCATAAATTATGCTTAAATAGTTTCTGTATTATTTTAGAATTGTTGTTTTTTTTTTTGTTTTTTTTAATTATTATTACAGATCTGAATCCGAATCCGGATATCCGCGGATATCACAATATCTAGACGCATATTCGAAAGACACGAATCCGAATCCGAATCCGAATAATAAAATTACAGATCCGACGAATCCGGATCAAGATCCGGATACTTCAAAATTTTCGGATATACGGATCCATCCCACTCCTAATCATTATTAACAATCAACATCGACCTTTATACAAAAAGGACTACTTTTGAATTCTAAGAATCTATCCACATAAGCAATTGACTTCTTCTACCAATCAAACACAAGCATAGTCTCATGTCATTTTCTTCATTTTTTTCTCCAAATCGTGAAAATATACAAAGAAAGATTTCCATTCTATATCACTTTTCCATATACTATTTACATCTTCACTATTAACACACTTTTACTTCTTCCAACACGTTTTTTTTTCTCTCCAACCTCGTAACCCACACAACCACCCATTCTTTTGTGTCAACACAACCAACCCAACCTATACCAAATTAAAATTTAACAGAGATTAACTCCATATACCTCATATCCTCCCAAACTCATTTTTACTACCTCTTTCTATTTTTCCTACATTTTTATCATTATATTTCTCAAAGTAATTTTTTATTTGTTTCTTCATTCAATTAAATCAATCATAACTCATCTATATATATATGTCCACTAAACAACCTTAACCAATAAGATTTTATTTGACCACATCTCTTTTTCTTCCATGTACTCTCTCTTCCTTCTCAATCTCAATTATCGAATTTGAAACTTCCAAAAACAGGTAATTCTTACTTGTTTTCGATGATTTTTTTTTGTGAAATAACATTTAAATATCATATATATCTTAGGTAGTGTATAAAATGTACAATTAGATGATAATTTGAGAGATTAAAAAACAAAGTTAAAAACTGTGTTTAGGGATTTCAAATATATTTTATGTCCGTTTTGATGATATTTTTTTGCTAAAATGTTGTTAAAAAACAAGTGTATATTTCGACTAGTGTTTAAAAAGAAGATTCAATGAAAATTATGAGAGATAAAAAAGGTTTTGAAAACTGGGTTTATAGATTTTAGATATATTTTATGTCTGCTTTGATGATTTTATGTGTGTAATTTCATTTAAAATGAATTATACATCATGAGTAATGTAAAATCTTAACAATATTGTCCTAAAAGCGGATTAGTTAGTGCAATGATAATTCTGGGTATTACTAAGATAATTGGTTTTACTAAAAAAAAATAGCTTTACTTCAATTACTAGAATTACTATATTTAGAATTCTGACTGGTATTATTAATATTATTATGTATAGTACTGAAATAAATTAATATTAGTAAGCGAAGATTGTACAGTGTGAGAATTAATTCTAAGCATCTTAATAATGATAATTCTAATGATATTCTATTTTATTTCAGGTAAATGCAAAATCTGCATTGCACAAACCTTTGTTTTGATTATGAGGGATATTATATGAAAAATGTGGCTGAAATAAAATGGGTCTCGGAAGATGATGAAGGAAAAGATGAAATTCACACGATTGTGTTGAAATCAATGGAAGAGATCACTTACTCTTATGTCGGTATATTTGATAAAAAGACTATAGAGGCTTGTGATGAAGATGGTAATGGTAGTGAGCTCACTTTTCACGAAGACATTGAGATTCATGATGGTGTCAATCAAAAGTGGTTATAAGTAAAGAATTTATAACCAAGAAGACATCAAAAGTTCTTATTTAAACGGCGTCATATCAAAAAAAAAATTAATTTGAAATAATTAAGTCGGATAATAAGAGATTTGTGGTTTGTACTAGTATCCTCATTTGTAATTTGGACAACTAAGTTTTACTGGTTTTATCATGTACAATTTGGACTATTATTGGAATTATTATGTGCAACTTAGACTACTAGGTATTACTGTATTATTATGTGCAATTCGAAACCAACATATATCACTAGGTAAATTGTTTATCATCGCATTTTCTATGATTATTTTCAATTCTTAGTATATATATAGATTAAACTATTGTTGATGAATATTTGCAATAGCTTAAAAAAATCTTAACGGTTTTTCAAAAAACTTCCTTAACTTTCATTGTTAGTATGTGAATGGTTAGAATATAGTAAGGAGAATTTAACAAAATACGTATTTCTGGTAAACTGTTTATGTAAATGTCTTTAATAACGATAATAATAGGGTAAAATCATTAGTTTTACTATCAAACCTTCTTTTGAGATGGTTTTACTAAATATACATAAAAATTACCAAAATATTACTATGTGTATGGCAGTATTACTACTACCTTGAAGATTACTATAGGCATTACTAAGTGTTAAATATAATATTAAATTTTCTATGATGGCTACACATTTTACAAGTGAAATGTATTTTTTAAAATCTTTTTTAATAATATATATATATATATATATATATATATATTATGCACGTTTTACATATGTTTACTAGTTTTTGGTATATATTTTTTAGTGTTTACTGATAAATAAAATGTTTTTGCAGAAGCAAAAAGACTTTTAAACTTTAATCCTACATTTTATAAAAACAATTTAAAACTATAGTAATTAAAATAAAATATTATTTTATAATAACTAAAAATAAAAATATTATTTTAAATAAATATTTAAAATTGCAAAAAGTTTCAAAACTCTGAAATTTCTTCAATAATCCTTAAATTGTGTACAAACTTTTTCAAAGATTTACTCAGATCTCATTTTTTATCAGATGTAATTTACATTAGTTGTATTTATATGCATATATATGTGTTTATTTATCAAACTAGACATAAAAAACTATACATTAGTTGTAATACCTAATAGAACCAGTAGTATAAATTTGGCTTTTTAGGCACAGTAATAACTTGTTTTATTAGTGGTCTAAACCTTTTACAACACAATCAAAAAATCCAAAATAATAAACTTCCAAAGTTTCATATCAACAAAACATAGGCCAGTCTGATTCACAGAGATCGAGGGGGAGTTTCGTTCGTCATCTTCCTTGAGAATGAGATGCTTCACATTGTTGAACTCCACCTCAGTTCCAGAGTACTTGAAGTAAATTATTTGTGCTAAAGTATACACCACAAGAAGAAAGGTCAATATTAGCATGAAACCAAAACAAACGAAGAAAAAGCAGCGGCTTGAAAGGGATTGTGAGGTTTACTTACAGGGACAGTGATATTAACTTTGTTTTTCCCAATAATTCCTCCTTCACCTACAGCAACAACTTCATTTCCTTGAGGTTTTGATTGAGCTGTAGATGGAAGTAAGAAACCTCCCATAGTTTTTTCTTCTCCCTTCTTGATCTTCACCAAAACTCTATCTCCTAATGGTTTAATTGAAGTGTACTGTAAATTACACAATTAAAAACTTATAATTCATAACTAAAAGAGAAAGGAAGTATCCAAATATCTTTACAAACCAAGCATGTAAAAACAACCTAAAGCTAAGTTTTATTTTTCATGTACCAAACTATAGAAACAGAAAATCCAAACATTCATATAAGTTTTCCACAGGTTCAATCAAATGAGCAAGTAGTATGTACCTTAGGAGCAACGACAGAAGCAGCTCTGACAACCAAAGAACGAAACTGCTCTATTTAAAGGGTGGATGGTTTCAAAGTTCCAAACTTGGCACTTGAAACTCTGAGTGAGGCTAAGCTCCTGGGTGACACAGTAAATGGTGATGCTGTAAGTTATGTCACCGCCGTATTTGACACACAAAACTTACAATTGTTAGATTCGACCATATTTGACTAATTTTCTGCAAAACCAAGTCACTATTGAGAGAATCCACTGGTTTCTCCGCACAAAATAAGATTTTTTATGTTCAATTCTTGCTGTGAACTGAAAGTGAAGAGAGAGGGTAAGCAAGTAAATATAAGAGATTCAACCTTGAGGATCAGAGAAAGGATTGTGACTTAAAGGAGTGATGTCGACGTCGTCATCTGGACTCATTAGCGTTTTCATGACCATTGTTGCCGTTGTTACTTCTGGTACAACTGATAATCAGGATTCGGAGGCTCTCCACATCCTGGCGGTTCCTCTGTTGCTATTCATCACAATCTCTCTCAACTTTAGTGTTTCAGAAGGGTTCTTCGTTTAAATCGCAAAGAGAGACAATAAAAGAATTATGACAAGAAAAATTAGAGGAGAGATTGATATATTTCCTATTGATTTAGATAGAGGTTGAACAAAGCAAGATTCTTAAAGACTCTAGATTTAGTTTCGTAAGAGAGATAAAGAGTCAAGAGACGAAGACGATGAAAGTTCAACTTTGGGAGAAGTTAGGTTGACAAACGATGTCGTTTAGGTGTTGGTGGATCAGAATTTTAGGTTAGACCTTGTAAATATGTTGTTCTTCTAAGTGGCAATCAATTTTTAGCTTCGTTTTCCTTTTAAAAAAATTATTATGCTAATATAGAACAGAAAAACAGAACTCTTGTCCCCTTAGTATAAAATATATTTTGTCTATTTTTTCTCCCTTTTACCATTTTCATTTATAAAAATTAATAAAATAGAGAGTTATATGACTCGAAAAAATATTTAAAAATACAAAGAAGTGATTAAATGCCTATATACACAAACTGATATATTTTTTTTTCAAAAAAATAGGTAAATTAAAAATTTTAATTACGTTCTACGGGGAGTAGAATTCATATTCTTCGAAAAATCGCATAGTAGAACTCATATTCCACGTTAAACAGTAAACTCTACATTTTTTAGAACCTATATTTTACGTTTATAAGAACTCTACATCTTGTAGAATCTATATTCTACGTTTATATAGAATTCTAAAAAATAACTGAATGCGGGTTCTACGTTTTAAACCACTTCTACAAATCTCAGAATACGTAATCTACACATAACTCAAACGTCTACTAATAGTAGAATCTGCTTATAGTGACATGTTAGTATTTCTACTCTCTGTAGAATGTATCTTCTACGGTGTTGGGGTCAAAATCGGTACGACGGAATTAATAGCCAAAACTCCCCGCAAAAATACAAAAGGAACAGTTTTATAAAGCCCGAGGAGTAGTTTTATAAAACTCAAAGTCATTTGTAAGACTCGCAGACCGTTTTATAAAACTCGAAAGGCCGTTTTATAAAACCCGAAGATCGTTTTATAAAGCTCGATAATCGTTTTATAAAAACTCGAAAAGCCGTTTTATAAAATCCGAAGATCGTTTTATAAGACTCGAGAATAGTTTTATAAAACCCGAGAAGTAGTTTTATAAAACCCGAAGATCGTTTTATAAAGCTCGAGAATTGTTTTATAAAACTTGAAAAGCCGTTTTATAAAACTCGAAGGTCGTTTTATAAAACTTAAAGATCGTTTTATAAAACTCGGGAAATCGTTTTATAAAACTTAAGGATCGTCTTATAAAACTCGAGAATCGTTTTATAAAACTCGAAGATCGTTTTATAAAACTCGAAGATCGTTTTATAAAGCTCGAGAATTGTTTTATAAAACTTGAAAAGCCGTTTTATAAAACTCGAAGGTCGTTTTATAAAACTTAAAGATCGTTTTATAAAACTCGGGAAATCGTTTTATAAAACTTAAGGATCGTCTTATAAAACTCGACAATCGTTTTATAAAACTCGAAGATCGTTTTATAAAACTCGAAGATCGTTTTATAAAACTCAAAAAATCGTTTTATAAAACTTAAGGATCGTTTTATAAAACTCGAGAATCGTTTTATAAAAATCGAAGATCGTTTTATAAAACTCGAAGATCGTTTTATAAAACTCGAGAAATCGTTTTATAAAACTTAAGGATCGTTTTATAAAACTCGAGAATCGTTTTATAAAACTCGAAGATCGTTTTATAAAACTCGAAGATCGTTTTATAAAACTCGAAGATCGTTTTATAAAACTCGAAGATCGTTTTATAAAACTCGAGGAATCGTTTTATAAAACTTAAGAATCGTTTTATAAAACTCGAAGATCGTTTTATAAAACTCGAAGATCGTTTTATAAAACTCGAAGATCGTTTTATAAAACTCGAGGAATCGTTTTATAAAACGTAAGGATCATTTTATAAAACTCGAAGATCGTTTTATGAAATCCAAAGATCGTTTTATAAAACTCGAGAATCGTTCTACGAAGCCGCAAAAAACCGAAACAGTCGTAAAGCGCGAACTAGTCACGACTAGTTTGCCCATGGGCGAACTAAGCCAAGCCAGCTTAGTTCGCCGATGGGCGAACTAGGAGACACTCAACTAGTTCGCCCATCGGCGAACTAAGAGATACTCATCTAGTTCGCCCATCGGCGAACTAAGCCGGGCTTAGTTCGCCGATGGGCGAACTAGAGACTTCCCGGATATTCCGCGTCTCGATCTCCCGCATTCCCGATTCGAAACTTACGTCTTTCGACAAGGTCGCGTTCTAAACCACGGCCGAAACATCTCCCGTTCCATCTCGATCCGACTTACCGTTCGAGTTTTACGATAAAAACCGTAAAACCTCGCTTTCTCGGAAAGAACTCGAGGAAATCGTATAAAACGGCAACGGTTAAACGAAACACCGAACATTGCCTAAACTATACGATTTATTCGAGATTTCTCGTTGAAATCATAAAAACGCGTTTTTTAATAAAAAAATGCCGAGTAAGTCGTAAAAAACGTGTTTTTAATAAAAATTCGAGTAAATCGTAAAACCTTGCAATTAACTCGAGTAATTTATTAAAAACGACGTCAGATCAGGAGACGATCCCGTAAAAAGTCGGAAAACGGATTTATCGCAAAACGGCCCGGAAGGACCTAAAACGCGATAAAAACCCATCTCGCGATTTCAACGGAATCTAACCCGCCGATTTGATAACGTTTTGACGGTTTACTCGCAGGAGGAAAATAAAAGTCAAGTTTAAAGATAAAAGGAAGATTTGAAGAAAAATAGAAGATTTCCGCGGAAGAAAAGGAAGGATCGAGAAAAATGGAAAATTCCCGATATAGTCGAATCTGGGCGAAATGGAAAGACCGAATGACCAAGGCGAGGAGTATATAAATAGGAGGTCTAGGGCGGAAGCAAGACACACGAAATTCAGAGCTCTCACCACCAAAACTAGCATTTAGGAATCTTTCCGTTTTTCTGTTAGCGAGCTGCGTCTCAATTAGGGTTTTATCGTTCTTAAGTTTTCGGCTACTCTCTTTGTACCAGTTCAACGCAGATTCGGAATAAGAACCTCTTTGCTCTCGATTTTCGTTTATTCTTTTAATAATTCTAAGTTTCTTGTTATCTTAATCTTCGTTGTGCGGTTCTGCAGATAGCCGGTTCCTGAAATTTAGGGTTTTCCCGAAGTTTCCTTTTTTACGATTATTAGACAGTAGGTGGATTTCGACACCCACATACGGATAAGATAAAACAAAATCCGAAAATTTTGGAAATTATTTTGGAAAATATTCTAAAAATATTTGTTAATAATTGCAGTTTCCTTAACCGTGGGAAACCGAATTCTCACGTAAAAAAATCCCTTCTATGTCGACTCCAAAAACCTAGCTTCTTCATCCAACCTAGTCTCCGTTGTTACGCAAGGCATTGTCTTGCATTAGGGTTTCTGTAATCATGTCTTTTTGCATCTTTTTGAGAAATAAATTTTCTTCATCCGCAGAGTGTTTGGTAATATAACCTACATATGCAAACAAAATGATACAGATGTGTTGGAAATTAAATAAATAGTAACTAAAACAGAAGTAACACAAGATAGTAGCTGAACTTGAATCCAGTTCCAGATGACAAGATGATATGTTGCATATTTACTTGGTTTTAGCCTTGCATTCTTATTCATGTTGAGCATATAGATTAGATTTAGGTACTCTTAGGTTGCATTTTGCATTCATTTGTCTTTATCAGGTGGTGGAACATGCTATGGAGTTCTTGGAGGCGTTTGGGATCAATTATGTGCCAAAAGAAAGTGCAAAGGTGTCATTTGGCGAGCCGGAGCAGCCACAGCGGAGTCAAGAGATCGCTGCAAGAAACACCAGCCGGAGCGGGGTCACGCAGCAGAGTCAGGGGGTCGGCCCAGACCACAGCGGACCCACGCAGCGGGGTAGGAGAGCCGCGCGCATTTGTCGTGAGAAGAAGGAGCTTGACAGCGGTGTACTGACCCCGCTGTGCGTCTTTTATGAGACGAAAAACACTTGTTTCGAGGACCTTTTTGCAATTTCGTTTTTTATGTTTTAAGTTGGAAAAACCTAAGTTTAAGTTAAGTTGTAAGTCACCATTGGCAGATTATCTTTGTTCTTGAAGAAAAGACTTGAAAACCTATTGGAAAGTTCATCTTTTAAGATCATTGATTTCATTATTCATTGTTTTTACTTGTCTATTCCATCATTTACATGATTAAACTTGAATCTAAAATGGGTTTAAGAGTAATCTAATGATTAGTGAGTAAATCACCATTGAACTCATGGGTTAGGGAGACTAAGGATGATTAGTCTAGAACTAGGGTGTTTAGTTTAGATTTCTCCTATTCCTTGCTTGTAGAGAGATCCTAATGCTTCTTTTGAGTTGGCCACTCAAAAGTTGATCTCTAGACATTTTCCACTCACAAAGTGTTCGATGAAATGTCTGAGTCAACTCTCCTAAGCTTTTAACATCCAAGAAGCAGCATCAAAAAGTTCAAAGAAATGATTTTTTCACTGCTTGTCTTGAAAAGAACCAACAACAAATTTCAACTAATTTTGAACAAAAAGTAAAATAATGAAGCGTATTCAAAGGCTTGTGGAGGTTGTGGCTCGTCATCTACAGCCGTAGGCCCGTAGCCGAGGCTATTGTTCCTTGTGTAGCCACCGCTGCACCAGTTGCAGGAGAAGCTGTTGAAGTTGTTGGTGCATCGGTCAGAGAGAGAACCTCTGGCTCGTGTTCACGCAAGTCCTTGAAAAGAACAAAACCTGATGGATGTAGCTTCACTGGCTCATCTCTGCTGTCTTCAAGTAGCTTAATGTACTTCTCTTGAGTCGAGACTACATGAGCTG